CAAAAAGACAAAGACAAAGGTGGGCTGGTCCATTTTAGTTCAATTCTGACTTTTTTAAAAGATCTTCTTCCTTGTAATTTCTGCCAACCATCATCTGTAGCCCAACTTCTCTTTCAAAAGGCATTCAAATAAAAGCTCTTTCAGTCCCAGACCTCTCCAGACCCAACATCCTCAAACCTCCTTCTAGTCCTCATGATATGATTGGGCTAAAGGGCTTCCAAGTATGCCCCAATCCTGTCACCTACATTCATCCCCAGCCACATTTGCTTAAAACCCAGGTCTGATCTATGCCCCTATCCTACAAGGCAGGAGCAGGCAAAATGCCTTGGTCTGAGGTACCTATGCAATGAAGGGCATAACTACTTTTGGACATGGTGACAGGCCTGGGATAACTATCACAAGCATTTGGTATGAGAGCTCACTTTGGACACTAAAAGACAAAAACATAGAAAATGCCCCCCTACCCAAAAAAAAGAAAAAGAAAAGAAAATGTCCCCAAGCAGGCTACTTCTCACTTGGTCCTTTGGAAAGCTTTCTAGCAAGACATTTGTAGCTAAGAAATGGCACATTTACTATAGGGCCTCTTGCTGCCATGCCTTAATCAATATCCCCATTGTCGAGTAGTTTACATTACTCCCTTCCCCCAACCCCAAACATAAGAGAATTCACTTTAAAAGGAGCCCCTCTCCCCAGCCTTCCAGATCGGACACCTTTGAAATAAGAGGCTATGGCCTTTTATGAAAACCCCTCCACCCCCACCCCCAGGCCTCGGCCAGCTCTTTGAGCTGTTCCCGGGACATGGTTCCTGCCTGTTGGCTTGGAACAGTTGCCCTTAGCCCCAACCTTTACATGTCTCCCACCTGCCTTTCTACCCAGCATCCATTTACACCCCCTGCCTGAGTGTCCCAGCCTCAAGGGCCAAAACCATTAACCCACTGACTTCACCCTCCCCGACCTGAACAAGTGGCCGTCACTCAGGCCCTGCGGGGCTGCCAGCTTCTGACCTCCCGCCCCCCTTGACCTCGCTAGGTCTGCCTGTGTGTGAGAGCAGCCAACCGAGAGCCTGCATCTTGCTCCCTTGTCCTCGGAGCAGTTGCTGGTAACATTTCCTAAGTCTTCTGACCTCAGCTGACCTTCTCTAAGGATCGCAGGGAAGGCAAGATTGCCTTCCTTCCTAACTAGCCATCCAGCCTTCTTAGGTTGTACTTGGCACCGGCATTGCTGCAGCAGCTTAGAGGGAGGCTGTTCATGAGGGCCCAGGCAGGCCTAGGCAAGGGACAGGGTATGCTAATGAGGTCTACACAGAATTGTTTTCATTAAACTCGCTTAGTCCACGAGGACTTAGAGAAGTTGAGTGAGAGTTGCCTGTAGGAAGCTCTCCTTGCCCTTTGACCAGCAGCCCCCCACTAGAGAGCCAGGCGGAGATGCTGGCAGCACTTGCACTCTGGTCACCGTGGGAGCTCGCTGGGCCAGGGGGAGGCAGCATGAAGAAATAGAAAGGACACCACACACTGCAGTCAGATCATTCAAGGGTTATTCCAGCTCCTCCGCCGATTCACTGTAGTTTGCTATCATCCCATTCCTCCCCAAAATGGAACCTGTACTCCCACTTAAAGGCCACTTAATGCTGTCTCTGCCCACATTTCTCCCTGCCTAGAATGCCACTGTGACCACCTTTCTTGCCATCTGAATCATCAGAACCTTCGAGACCACCTTGTCTCAGGAAGCCTTTCCTGATTGGCTGACCCCCTCGGATACATCCTCCTCTAAATGCTACAGTGTTGGGCTGTTAAGATCACTTCTCTGGGCTTCAGGAGGAACCCTAGCATAGTGCAGCTCTGCTCTGTGACTCTCACCTGCCGCTGTGTTACCCAGTGTTCATTCATACCCCATTCTCTAGTCTCCCTGTTTCAAGGGCCTAACCATCAACCTACTTACTCATCTCTCCCTCTCCTGTTAGCTGTGTGAGAGGGATTTTTAATGGTAGGAGAAGGTTTTTAAAGTGTCATGGAAAATGGAATCAAAAGACCAGTTTGATTACTTTTGCTTAGGTGATGTTACTTCACCTCGTAAAGCCTTGGTTTTCTGATCTGTGTATAATAAGCATCTACCGTACAGCCACTTGCCATCTCTGAGACCATGGACTCTGGGGCTCCAGAGATGGATCCATCAAACTATCCCTGTCCCTGAGAGACTTTCAGACTAGTGGAGGAGACAGATATGGAAACAGGCAATTACAGCTGGGGAGATGCTCTGGAAGAGGGCTGGTAAGGGGCTCTTGGGACACAGGAGGAAACAGCTGATTCTGCTTTGTGAACAGAGAGTTGGAATGTGTTATAGAAAGCTTCCCAGAGGAGTGGGTTCTTAAGCCAGGTCAGGAAGGGTAGTGGTACTTCCAACTTTCACAGAAAAGAAGGTACACCAGTCTGTTTTTAATCTTTGAAGATGCTGCTTCTGCCAGTTAAGGACGTATTATTTGAATATATTTCAGATAATTTTCTATATGTGGTTCAAAGGAAAAACCCAGTTCAAAAAGGCTACGAGGCCAAAAAAAGGATATAAGACAAAAGTATGAACTTCATCATCAGGCTCTGAATACCGTCCTTTCCCACTTAGTAGCTGTATGGTTCTGTACAAGCACTGTTGTGAGGTTTATTCTCTCATCTTCCAAGACAGAGGTTCTCAACCTTCCTAATGCCATGACCCTTTAATACAGTTCCTCATGTTGTGGTGACCCCCGCAACCAGAAGATTATTTTTGTTGCTACTTCAAAACTAATTTTGCTACTGTTATGAATTGGGCGACCCCTGTGAAAGGGTTGTTTGGCCCCCACCGGGGTCGCAACCCACAGATTGAGAACCCATATTCTAAGGTATGGGAAGAATTAGCTAGTGGACCTGTGGTAGGATAGTGCCTTCTACAGAGAAGCCCCTGTCCTATCTGTTATTATTAACTTCAGAAACACTCAGTGCTCACTTGTTTTTAATACACACACCTAAGTGTGACCCTCACCTGCCTTGTTCCCACTGCTGCCCAAGTCCTGCAGCTACACTGCATTGCCAGCTCAGGGTTGCAGCCTCTGGCAGTTCTTTCTGCTTCGCGTCTCCTTTCAAGATCTCACTTCTCTTCATTTCTTTCTACCAGGAGGCTCCAGTGCTACTGCTACCTCCCTTCTGAAACCTTCCTTGTTCTCTGGGAGTCGGATCCAATCCCACCTACCAGACAGCAGTAGTTACAGTGCAGGGACTGTGGCTGTTGGCTGTTTCGGTCTCCTTTGCCCTGCACGGCCGTAGCTCTGCATGTTTTGGGTGCTTTGATGTCTCCATAACCACTGTCGATTTTCTTGTGGGAGGTGTGGTATCTTTGC